ACCCACGGAAAGGTATAAAGTTAAAGAAGCCAATCTGAAAATGCTTACTACTGTATGATTTCAACTACATGGCATTCTGGAAAAGGCAAAATCAGGAAGACAATAAAAAGATCAATAGTTGCCAGGGATTGGTGGGGAAAGAGTGATGAACAGGCAGAGCACAAACGATTTTTAGTAAACTATTCCACATGATAACAATGGTGGATACATATCATTCTTATACATTTGCCCAAACCCACAGAATGTATATACAACATCAAGAGCAAAACCTAATGTAAACTATGGACTTTGGGTCATGATGTGTCAATGTAGGTTCATCAATTTTAACAAATATACATTATGTATGGGGATTGTGGTATGGGATGTCCACAATGGGAGTGGTTGTGGACCTCTGTACTTTCCATGCAATTTTGCTGTGAAACTAAAACTACTTTTAAGAAGTTTATTGAGACACCTGGGTGGCTCAGCAGTGAGTGTCTGCCTTTGGCTCTGGGTGTGATCCAGATCCAGGAATCAAGTCCCACATCGGAGGACTCTGATGGGGAGCCTGCTTCTCCCTCTATGTCTCTGCCTCTGTCTCTTGTGAATAAATAAATCTTCTAAAAAAATAAAAATGAAAAGCTTGTTAATTTAAAAAAATTACTATTGCATTTGCAGGGAAGAATCAATCTAGAAAGATTTAGGGTAGTTTTATTGCTTTAATGAAGGCTGAAAAATACAAATCTACAAATTCACTACTAGCATTCTTTTTTTTTTTCTTTTTACTACTAGCATTCCAATAGAAAAGCAATATAGCCTATAAGAAACTAGGGAAAGTTGCTTAAGAATAAATTCAACAACAACAACAACAAAAAGAATAAATTCAACAATATAGGCTGCCTGACTGGTTCCATCAGTGGAGCATTCAACTCTTGATCTCAGGGTTGTAAATTCAAGCACCATGTTGGGTGTAGAGATTACTTAGAAAAAATAAAATATTTTGGGGCACCTGAATGGCTCAGTCAGCTAAGTAGCCAGCTCTTGATTTCTGTTCAGTCATGATCTTGGGGTTCCGGGATTGATCCCTCCTCAGTGGGGAGTATGCTTGAGAATTTTTCTGCCTCTGCCCCTTTCCCCATTTATACACATAAATATAGGTGGTTTTTCTCTCTAAAATAAATCTTAAAAAAAAAAAAAGGCACTCCAAATGACTAAAATTTGAGAAGCATGGTGATCTCTTTATTAAGCTCCAGAGTATGATACTTGATTGCCTAGTGAATTGATATGGTTAAATATCCCACAAAGATCCAAAGCTCAGTCAGTCACAATTTGAAAAAAATCTTCCCCTTCCCTTCAAAGTTGTTCTTATTTGTTTATTTATTTATGACAGAAAGAAAAGAAAGAAAAGAGAAAAAAGAAAAAGAACGAATGAACGAACGAGCACTAAGATGAGTGTTATCAACCACAACTCCTCAATCTTCTTCAGGTCTTGTATCTAGTCAATCTCCAAGTCCAATCTCCACATCCTTAGGTTAGCAGCCTGTACAGGGAAGCCTCCCTTCCCTGAACACTTCCACAGTTCCACAGTTCATGTGATGATTAAATCCAGACCAGGTTATAGAGACAACTCTTAAGTGGTAGCCTGTTTCCTAATCTTGCTTCCAATAAATCTGTTTTCCAAACCTCAGCTAAATAAAATGCTTGCCTGCCTAAAATCTTTCAACGACTCCGTTAGAGATGAACTCTATGTTTGCTAACATGACTTGCAAAGCACCTGCATCATATGACCAGTGTTTTCCCTAACTTTCCTTAATTCCCATTTTCCTTCTTATACTTTATACTTTTGTTCAATCTAGCCTGAACCTTGTATTTTCATTTTATTAGTATCATCTTTCTACACACTGTAACCTTTTTTCACTTACAAAATATAAGATGAAAAATTCAGTCCCTTATAGATGGAGTAAGAGCACTGCCACCTGTCTCTCCTGAATGCAGCTAAAAGCCATGGGAAAAATGCACAGAGCAGCTATCTGAAAACTCTAAAAAGTAAAGGGTGGCAAGTTGACTGGAGAAGGAAATCAGAACTCAAAGTAACACTGAACTGGTGGTGAGTTTCTTGGTTTGTTATCCTTGTCTCCAGGTCTAAACCCAAAGGCAACATGAAAGCAGGAACTGTGCATCAGGCTGCTCCCAGAGTAGCCTCCATTTCTGGTCTGAGGAATGGGAAAGAGGGTCTCTAGTAGTCAGAGAAATCTTACCCCATTTCTATCCAATCCCAAGGTATCTTGCAGCAGCGATACCTCGGCAATTAAAACTCTAAGAGTGTTCACAGAAAAATCTTGGGGATCCCTGGGTGGCGCAGTGGTTTGGCGCCTGCCTTTGGCCCAGGGCGCAATCCTGGAGACCCGGGATCGAATCCCACGTCGGGCTCATGGTACATGGAGCCTGCTTCTCCCTCTGCCTATGTCTCTGCCTCTCTCTCTCTCTGACTATCATAAACAAAAATTTAAAAAAAAAGAAAAATCTATGGTCACAAGAGCACAGGAATAATACCCATTTTCTTCTTTTTCTGTCTCCTTGTTGCTTGGTGCAGAGGCAGACATGGTTGCAGGAAATAGAGAGTAGAGGGGAAACTAGAGGTCTGCCTTTCTACCCAGAAGACTGAAAGAGGGGCCCTACAAGTGAAGCAGGGGAGGAGAGGGAGCTCACGAAAGTGCTTCCGTAAAGTTGTATAAAATCCAGGGCACATCCCTGAGTTGTGCACATACATGAAATCCTGGACTCACCCCTGAGATGTGCAAATGCATGACATCCTCAATGTATCCCTGGGTTGTACATGTGCATGACATCTTGGGCGCATCCCAGAGTTGTGCAAGTGCATGACATGCTGGGCACATCCCTGGGTTGTGTAAAGTGCGTGACATCCTGGGTGCACCCTTGGGTTGTGCACGCATGTATCTGACCCTGTATACTGTGCTAGAAACTGAAAACTGAAATGGGACCCCACAGCCTAGGTTGGGAAAGGCCAGAGGAGGTGCATATATACGACAGACCTACGAAAGCCGTAAAAATACAACTGTCCTAGGACCACATATGTAGAAGAAAGGTTAGAACTGACGGCCTTAACGTACCCATATTGACAACCTGCCTAAATAGAATTATCATCCCAGCAGGACCTAAACAAGACCTAGTCTTAGAATATAAAAATAAATAGGTTAAAATCCAATTTATAGGACATCTGGAGAAACAGAAACGTTTCACCATCCTACAGGACAGCTGCAGACAACCCAGCTATAAAACACACTTACGAAGCATTTATGTATGGATAGTGCTTTTAAAAAAAATACAAGCCAAACTTTTTTTGTTTTTTTGTTTTTTTAAAGATTTATTTATTTGTTTATTCAGAGAGAGCGAGAGAGAGGCAGAGACGCAGGCAGAGGGAGAAGCAGGCTCCATGCAGGAAGCCCGACACGGGACCCGATCCCGGGTCTCCAGGATCACACCCTGGGCTGCAGGCGGTGCTAAACCGCTGCGCCACCGGGGCTGCCCGCAAAACTGTTTTGATATGAAAAATGGTTATTTTGATCATGTAGAAAATGTCCCTATAATTTATACATGATAGTGAAGTGAAATATTGAGATGTAATTTACTTTTCAATTATTCTGCAAAAAAAAGGAGTGGAGTGAGGCAAATAAAGGAAAATGTTATCCATTATTTAGTCCATAACTAAGGCTGTATAGACATATGCGAGAATAGAAAAGGAAACAATCAATAAAAAACAGAGAACCCATAAATATACACAAATATTAACATTTAAGTTATGACAAACCTACAACACGTCAGCATATGATGCCATGATAACTGGATCTCCTCCCAGAAGAAATCAAAATTGACCAGTAACTCACACAACACACAAAAATCAATTCAAAGTGGACAACAGATCTAAATGTGATTGGCAGAATGACTAGGTTTAAGAGAAAATATAAGAAAATGCCTTCATTATGACCTCATGATAGGGAATGGTTTCTTAAACATGTTAATTCTACAGGGAACAACATCTGACCGCACTAAAACTAAAAATTTCCGTTCATCAAAAGAAGTTATTAAGGGGGAAAATATACCATATGTGAGAGAAAACATTTGCAGTGAAACTAATTAGCGAAGCACTTGTATCTGAAATATCTAACTTCTACAAATCAATACAAAAGACAGAGAATCCAATACATAAATGAGCAAAGACCTTCAAGACACACATCACAGATGAGGGTACCCAGGTGTCCAGTAAACATACGGAAAGGTGCTCAACCTCATCAGTAATCAGAAAAATGCAATTTTCAACCATAGCAACCTCCCATTGCACACTCTTCTGCTAGGTCTGTATTATGGTGTCTGACTGTCTGGGGCATTCATTAGTAAGTATGCAGAACCAGGGGAACCCACATATGGTGTTCGTGAGAATGTAAGTCAGTAAAAGCACTCTGGAAAACATTTTTGCATTATCTCATGATATGAAAGAGGTACACCATCCTCTGCCCCAGCAATTCCAGGCCTAGAAAGACACCACAACAAACCTATGCCAGTCTGCACCTGGGCACAAGGACAATACTAACATTGCTTGCAACAGCCTTAAAATGCAAACAACCCAAGAAGCCCTCAAAAACAGAATGGATAAATTGGTGGGGTACTGATGTGTACAATGAAACAAATTACCACAGTAATATGCAAAAAAGCATAAATCTTAAAAGTACTTTTGAAAAGCAAATCACAATACATACATTATGAACCCTCTAGATTAAGTTCACAAACATACTCATTTAACTATAGTGATTAGAGAAACAAACAGTTGACAAGGTTTGTCAAGTAACCAAACCAGTAAGTTGCTCCCATAAAGAGAAGACTGCCTCTAGGTAGGGAAGGGGTGAGCACACAGTGCTCTTATGACGTGAGCAGTGGTTACATGCATATCTTTCAATAATTTGTTAAGCTGTACATTCATTTTGCCTTTTTAGAAAGGTACTGGACTGTAGCCAAGGAAACCACCATGTGCTCCCTCCACAGGGAGCCTGGTGTGCAATGGTGGCAAACAGTAGCCCCCTCAGTAGTGTATACAGCCTGTTGCTTAAATGGGTTGCCTTACAGGACTTTGGACACAGCCCTTTCCCTTTGACATTCATGTGTGACCTCATGCTACCCCCAATATGGGTTCCAAACAGGTATGTGGGGCACCCTTGGAAAACCCCAGGGCACAATAGCCAGGGTCCACATAGGCCAAATCCTTATCATCCATATAAAATGGAGAACCCTTATGCAGGGCCATATCCCAGTTCCCTGGGGCTGCCAGAAGATCCACATCTCTAAGAAGTGGGTCCACATCTCACTTTAATACACAAGAATTTGAAGCCATGATGGCTGAAAAGCAGTTCATCTCAAATACCTGTGGGGGTCAAACACACCCTAACCATGGCCTCCTGGACAAATGGCTGGCCCTATGCTCATGAGAACCTTCCCACTGCCCTCTCCTTATTCATGCCCACCAATAAATCCTACTTCCTGTTTTTAGTGAAAAGGGGGTACTAGAATGAACACAAAAAAATTAGCAGAACTGTATTAAAGTAAGTGGAGGGGCACTTGGCTGGTTCCATCGGTAGAGGAGGTAACTCTTAATCTCAAGGCCAGGAGTTTGAGCCCCACACTGGACACAGGATTATTTAGAACAAAAGTAAGTAAGCGAATGAATGAAGTAATGAATAAAGTAGTGGAATTAGAGGCAATTTTTCTGTTTGACCTTTCCTCACTTCCCTTGTACACAGTTCTATCAGTTTTATTACTTTTACACAGGACATTATTCTTCAACTCCTCCTTAAATGAAGAAATCTCCCTGCACTTGCTTGAACTCGTAACTTCAGCCCACATCACTGCTTATTACACCCTCCTGGATCTCTGCAGCCAGTGAGCCTCACTGCCGTCAGCACCTGAGAGCTGGAGCTGTTTTCACAGCTGCTCCGGTTCCCCTATCAGACTCCCAAACTACTGCTTCCCGGTCCGTGAGAACATTCCTCCTGTTATGCCAGGAAAAGGTCAGGTGTACTGATCAGAAGTTTTAGAATCAACTAAAGAACTTATAGAACTTTTCATAAATACAGAATTTAAGCTCCATAGATCTATGACAGAATCTTCCAGGGTGTCACATGGCCATTTATTTTTAAAGAGCTTCACCAGCAATTCAATTGTCAACCTGAGGTGACATCTCAATCCCATGCCTTCAATTTTCACTTACTATTAAAATTCTCACATCCACATTTCTAACCTGACCATTTTTCTATCATATATTTCAACAGCTTGTGCAAATCTTCACTTGGAAATACCATCCTCTACTCACACCAAGCACATTTCAAACTAATTCATCACTTTTTCTCCAAAACTGATTCCTGTCTTTTATGTTTATATTACTACTATCCCTATGCAAATTATCTAGGCCCCAAACACCAACTGGAAATTCCTTATCCCTTACTGCTGAACTGCAAATTTGGAGACATGCAATGAAGTTATTTACAGATCTATTTTACCTCATTAAGCTGTAACTTCTTTCATAGTTATTACACTTTTTTATACTTTCTACTCTCTGTAGCATCCAAGAGAAAGTCTTTTAAATAAATACCAAGAGAATGTGTGAGGGAATGAATAAATCAATTAAACAAAAAGTAGCAACAAATTCATCTAAGACAGTTAAATAGGACCATAGTTTTACCTTTCAATTTAGGCAACAGAAACACAGGTCAATTTCAAGAAAGAAAGGGAGAAGAGGGGATCCCTGGGTGGCGCAGCGGTTTAACGCCTGCCTTTGGCCCAGGGCGCGACCCTGGAGACCCGGGATCGAATCCCACGTCGGGCTCCCGGTGTATGGAGCCTGCTTCTCCCTCTGCCTGTGTCTCTGCCTCTCTCTCTCTCTCTCTCTCTGTGACTATCATAAATAAATAAAAATTAAAAAAAAAAAGAAAAAAAAAGAAAGGGAGAAGAAATCAAAAAGAAATGAAACTCAGGGGGCAGCCCGGTGGCGCAGCGGTTTAACGCCGCCTACAGCCCAAGGCGTGATCCTGGAGACCCTGGATCGAGTCCCACATCAGGGTCTCTGTATGATGCCTGCTTCTCCCTCTGTCTGTGTCTCTGCCTCTCTCTCTCTTTCTGTCTCTATGAATAAATAAAATCTTTAAAAAAAAAAAAAAAAGCTCAACCTTTGAGCTATTAAAAAAAAAAAACTCTGGGATCCCTGGGTGGCGCAGCGGTTTAGCGCCTGCCTTTGGCCCAGGGCGCGATCCTGGAGACCCGGGATCAAATCCCACGTCAGGCTCCCAGGGCATGGAGCCTGCTTCTCCCTCTGCCTGTGTCTCTGCCTCTCTCTCTCTCTCTCTCTCTCTCTCTCTCTGTGTGTGTGTGTGACTATAATAAATTAATAAAAATTAAAAAAAAAAAAAAAAAACTCAACCTTTGAGCTATTAAAAAAAAAAAAAAAAGAAAGAAAGAAATGAAATGAAACTCAGAGCCCAGACAGAGCTAACAATGGAAAGAAAGAACACATCTGTTAGTGAGAAAGTGTACAAAGGTAAGATGAGAATTGAAGATGGCTGGAAAGCAGATGTGAAATAGTTTCTTCTGAGGCTGTGAGCAAGACTTCATAGTCCTCAATGCTCTGGTATCTGTAAGGGAATATTATAACCAAAATATAAAAAGTATTGCTTTCTTATTGATTAGTTGGGTTGTTACTAACTTACTCACCTGAATACAGATCTCTTCTCACATCTCCTTTCTCCAGCCAGGGCCCTTTTCCTTGCTCCAATAAGGAAACCACATAAGGCTTAGAAATGTTAAGACCTGCTTGCAGAAAATGAAATAAATTCCAAATCAGTCCTTCAGTCCCTAGAAGAGAGCCATTAAAACAAAGGCCATGGGATGCCTGGGTGGCTCAGTGGTTGAGTGTCTGCTTTTGGATCAGGGCATGATCCCAGAATCCTGGGATCAAGTCTTGCATCAGGCTCTCTGCAGGGAGCCTGCTTCTCCCTCTGCCTGTGTCTCTGCCTCTCTCTGTGTGTCTCTCATGAATAAATAAAAATAAAATCTTTAAAAAAGTTAAAAATAAAAATAAATAAAAAATAAAAGAAAGGCCACCTGTAAATATGAGATGTCTAAGGATTAGGTGGTTATAATCCATCTTAAAAAATAAAAAAATGGGTGCCTGGCTGGCTCAGTGGAGTGTGTGACTTTTTTTTTTTTTTTAAGATTTTATTTGTTTATTCATGAGAGACATAGAGAGAGAGGCAGAGACACAGGCAGAGGGAGAAGCAGGCTCCCTGCAGAGAGCCTGATGCAAGACTTGATCCCAGGAGCCTGATGAGGGACTCAATCCTGGGTCTCCAGGATCCTGCCCTGGGCCGAAGGCAGCGCTAAACTGCTGAGCCACCGGAGCTGCCCAGGAGTGTGTGACTCTTGATCTCAGGTTGTAAGCTCCAGCTCAAAACTGGGTGTAGATATTACTTAAAAATAAAGATCAGAAAAAAGAAAAGGAAAATACAGGGATGTCTGAGTGGCCCAAGCGGTTGAGCATCTGCTTTCACACTTAGGGCATGATCCTGGGTTCCAGAATCAAGTTGCACATCGGGCTCTTTGCAGGGAGCCTGCTTCTCCCTCTGCCTATGTCTCTGCCCCGCCCCCCTGTCTCTCTCATGAATAAATAAATAAATAAATCTTTAAAAAGAAAAAAAAAAAAAAACAAAAAGAAAAATAACATACTTCCTTGGGAATCTCCAATCAGAAAACCAAGATTCACAACAGCCACCCCAAAGTTCAAATTCTGACTGAGAGGAGGAGAAATCCACTTACCCAGTGAAACAAGGTGGCTATAGTTCTCCAACATTACATGTCTGTACAGATCCCTCTGAGCAGGCTGAAGCCACTCCCACTCCTCCTGGGAGAAGTCAATGGCCACATCTCTGAATGTCACTGACTCCTGAAATGACATAAAGATATCTGCACAACCAACACCCACTTGATCATTGCCCTGATCAAAGAGCGAAATGAGTCCCATCGTGGAGAGCAGACAATATATATAAGGCGAAATGGGAGTTTTCAGAATTCTGAGTGTAGGAGCCTACCTGTTTTGTTTTATTAAGTGGAAAAAGGAGAAAAAAATAAATGCAATTTGTCCTGAGATAATACACAGTTTTGTGAAAAAAAAAAAAAAAAAAAGGATTATACATGCAAACAACATGGATTTCTGGCTTTTTGTTGTAAAAGTTCTTAGAATCTTACAACACTTCATGAATAGTGAAGACAATCCGTTTGTATTTAATAGGCAATGCATATTTTCCTTAATGGCAGCCAGTTTTAATATGATTTGGCAAGATTTCTTCCTGGTAACTAATGAGGAAGCAGAAGCAGAATGCAAACTGAGGGCAAAGCACAAGCTGATTCACTACAGCCCCCCTCCCCCAACCTCCACCCCACCACATTCCTCAGGCACTCCTGGATGCCCTAAAGCTAAGGGAAGGAAAAACAAATGGCTAACTTATAGAGATCACAATCCTCCAAGGCAAGAGTCTCCCTCAGTTTACAAATGTCTTAGTCGGGCTCCCTGCATGGAGTCTGTTTCTCCCTCTGCCTGTGTCTCTCTGCCTCTCTCTCTCTCTCATGAATAAATAAATAAAATCTTGAAAAAAAGAAAGAAAAGAAAAGAAAACCTTCCTTCTTGGGGCACCTGGGTGGCTCAGTGGTTGGGCATCTGCCTTTGGCTCAAGGTGTCTCTGCTTCTCTATGTGTGTGTCTCTCGTGAATAAATGAATAAAATCTTTAAAAAAAAAAAAAGAAAAAGAAAACCTCCCTTCTTCTTTGCCCCCAACTCCCAAGTATATGATCAGTCAACCCTCACAGTCCCCGCAGAGCAGCTTTCTGCCCATGGGTCCTGTCCCTGGGCTTGAATAAAATCATCTTTCTGCACCAAAGAGTATCAAGAATTCTTTTTTTGGCCATTGGCTCCGGACCCCATCTACATTCAAAAACTACATCAGTAGCAACTGGGTATAGCAGACAGCAGCAGCACCCTTGAGAAGGGACATGCACTCGAGTGCATCACAGCTGTCCCCATTCCAGAAGAAACAGCTAGGAAACTGAGGGGTACTTGAAGCAAAGTTACAGAACAAGGAGAATTAGCAGTCAAGTGTAAGGACTACCCAAGGAAGAGATATAATACTTCCCAAGACCAAGCCTAGCACTTTCCCCCTCAGAGTTAGGGGTAACAGTAACCTCTGCAGCCTGGTTTTGCCCCACTTGAATAATCCACATCACCATGAAGCTTAAACAAAAACGTTGAAAGGTGCCAAACCAGTAAGAGCCCCAAATATACCGCAGCTATATTTTACAGCTAAAAAAAAATTTAGGGTGCCTGGGTGGCTCAGTCAGTGGAGTCTTAGTTTCAGCTTAGGTCAAGACCTTGGAGCCCTGGGATGGAACATCGGACTGCTTCAGGATTCTCTCAACCTCTGCCCCTCAACTCCTACTCTCTCAAGTAATCTTTAAAAAAAAAAAAAAAAATTCTCCCCCTGCTCTCTCAAGTAAATAATCTTTAAAAATTCTCCCCCTGGGATCCCTGGGTGGCGCAGCGGTTTAGCGCCTGCCTTTGGCCCAGGGCGCGATCCTGGAGACCCGGGATCGAATGCCACGTCGGGCTCCCGGTGCATGGAGCCTGCTTCTCCCTCTGCCTGTGTCTCTGCCTCTCTCTGTGTGTGTGTGACTATCATAAATAAATAAAAATTAAAAAAAAAATAAAAATTCTCCCCCTGCCCCTCCTCCGTCTTTCAAAAAAAAATGGTTTTAAATCTTAAAAGATTACTGACTGATAAAGCTATTTCCTAAACAGTGGAATCTGCACCACAGATGGAAACTGCACTCCCAGCAGAACGTGAGGAGCGTCTGGACTTGGAAACAAACAGGACACAAAGTAGAGCAGAGAAGTGGAACTAAAAACAGAGGGCCTGGATCAGAACGGGAGGTGTCCTCAACCCCCACGTCTGTGAAGCATAATTGCCCCAGATTTTGTTTTGTTCTTGCTGCCTCGCCAGGGCTTAGGACGCAGCGCCTGCTGATGACCCAGAGGGCCTGGGCGGCAGCTCGCCCGCACACACCTACAAGAAGTTCTCCAGAGATGCTGACACTGCTGGTCCGGGGGCCAGACTCTGAGACCGCTGACGCCTGTGCTGCGGACGGAGGCTTAGTAAAGTCGTGGTGCCGAGGGCAGCGGAGCATCCTCTCCCCAACGCCGCGCGAAGGAGGGAAGAGTCATCGCCCCCGCCCGCCCCCTCCGGTCCAGGTAGATGCGAGAGCCCGAGCGCAGGACCCGGGGCGGGACGGTTCTGGAGAAGCAGAGCTTCGGTCCCACGGCCCAGAGAACGCAGCCACACTCAGCAAGAAGGAGACTGCAACCTACCCGAGACATAGCTCACGGCGGGACGGGGAAACGGCAGGACCCGGAAAGACAGGCGGCAGGGCCGGAAAAGAGACGGCTCAGCTGCGGCGGACGCAGCACGGAGCGCGCGGCTACAGCGCCCTCCGCCCTCCCGCCCCCTTGGCGCCTCCTTCCCCTTTAATGGGTCACAGGACCGCGCGCTTCCTCGGCGGCGCCTCCGGTGGGCGAGGCGGTCTCGGGCCGCAGACCTGCCTTCGGCCCTGGACGCCCAGAGAACGCCCACACCTGCCTCGGTCCCAGCGCCAGGGACGGCCGCTTTACACACTTCGGGGCCCACGCAAGCCCGACTTCCGGCTCTGCGTCCGCGGACTCCGCCGCGAGCCTCCAGCAAACTCCTCCTGCCAGAGCCTCTGGGACCTGATCCCCACCAGGCCTTGGGCCTCAGACGACTACACTTCCCAGGACCCACCGCGGCCTACGGGGACGATGGGGGAGCGCCCCTCGCACGCGGTGCCTCCCCCTGCGCCTGCGCACACAGCGACAGAGCCCACGGACGTCAGACGACTACATTTCCCAGGAACCACCGCGGCCTGAGTAGTACAGGCCGGTCCTGAGCGCCTCGGCCAGGGGCGCACCGCAGGCGGCGCCGGGGTCCCGGGGCAGCTCGGCCGGGCCGTAGGGCGCCCGGAAGGCTCGCAGCGCGCAGTCCTCGGGCGCGGGGAAGAAGGCGGCCTCGCCGGGCTCCAGGCCGTCCAGCGGCGAGCGCTCGGGCGTCGGCAGCCCCAGCCCGTCAAGCTCGGAGCCCAGCGGGGGCAGCTCCCCTGGCCCGGCGCCGCGGGGAAGGGCCCTCTTTTTGCTATTACCTGTATGAATTCCTTATGTTAGGGTTAGGGTGTTAGGGTGTTAGGGTTAGGGTGTTAGGGTGTTAGGGTTAGGGTTAGGGTGTTAGGGGGTTAGGGTTAGGGTGTTAGGGTGGTTAGGGTTAGGGTGGTTAGGGTTAGGGTTAGGGTGTTAGGGTTAGGGTGTTAGGGTTAGGGTTAGGGTGTTAGGGTTAGGGTTAGGGTGTTAGGGTTAGGGTTAGGGTGTTAGGGTTAGGGTGTTAGGGTTAGGGTGTTAGGGTTAGGGTGTTAGGGTGTTAGGGTGTTAGGGTTAGGGTGTTAGGGTAGTTAGGGTGTTAGGGTTAGGGTGGTTAGGGTGTTAGGGTTGGGTTAGGGTTAGGGTGTTAGGGGGGTTAGGGTTAGGGTTAGGGTTAGGGGGTTAGGGTTAGGGTTAGGGTTGGGTTAGGGTTAGGGTTGGGTTAGGAGGGCAGCGGAGCAGGCACCAAGGGTGGGGAGGGAGCACTGAGGGCTCCAGCCGCCGGGCCTTGCGCGCCTGCTTCTTGCGGCGCGGCCGGTACTTGTAGTTAGGGACCCTGGGATCATGCCCTGAGCCAAAGGCAGATGCTCAACCACTCAGCTACCCTGGCGTCCCTGAAGTTGTGTTCTTGAAACATATAACATTGTGTACCAGCTGTGCTAAAATAAAAACAGGACTTTTTCAGTTCAATAGTTCAATGGCCAGGTGAAATGAGGGCCAAGGAGAAGCGGTCTGAGTAGAAGCGAGCCTGGAAAAGTGAGCAAGCCTTGTGCAGAGCTTGCAGCTTCAGTGAGGAAACACTGAAGCATGTGATGTTGCAACAGTCGCACTTGCATGTAGTGCCTGGTGTCCCAGCAAATTGAAGGGAAGAAGGACTGGAGCCAGGAAGGCCATTGAAGGCAACGACTCGTGTGGCATCAGGGGAAACTGATGCAAGGTGCTGTTTCAAAGTAAACTTTATGCCCAACCTGGCATATGCACGACCCCTGAGACCAGCAGGGACTTAGAGATCATGTGCTCCAAGGGCCCAGTGTCATCTCTCCCACACACACACAACCCTCAGGAAACAGAATCCAGGGGACCTGGATGTGAACTGGAAATAGCAGGTGGAACAGAACGAGGATTGAGGTTTCTTGCTGTGGTGAAATGTTGCCAGAAGTTCCTTCCTTAAAACCTCTACTACCACGGTTATCCACTGTGGTGATTTCAACATCCATTTATACGACATGCCCAGATCTTTGGGCTACTCATTTTATTTCACTAAAATGATGAACACAGGAAAAAACACATTTAGAAGCGAAGAAATGGATGCCTTTGGGGGATATATAGAGACTGTGTGGTTTGATCTCCTGTGTTAATCTCCAACAAACCATTATTTCTCACTGAAGTTTGCTGTGACTTCACTACAACTGCTCTCCCAAGTCTTTTTTTCCACACAGAAAGTAGCCCAACATTTATAAAAATTCCAAAGTATTCCTCAGCTTAATGACTTTGATGTCTTTTGGTTACTCTGTAGTAAAGCAAAAGTCCTGATCTCACCTCTGTATTCTCAAGCTTATATTATTTTCCACCACTCTGCTTTGTTTCCCCAAATGCCATGTATCCAGGACCTTTGAACCATTTATCTTTTCACATCATAACTTCATTAGTTCATTTCATCTCATCCTTCATATTTCAACCCAGGAAACTCAGAGAACACTTCTCTCTCTGATCAGTGTTCTCTGACTCTCCTGTGATCTCTGAGTAATGTCACTTTGTAAATTCACTGCATTCTGTACTCATTCGCTTTAGCATTTGACTAAGTTGTAGTTATGTTTATAAATCTGTGTATTGTATTATTTTTTTGTTCATAACTGTCTATCTCATTAGACTAGAGTGAGTCTAGAGACTGTTTTGCTTATCATTATGCCTAGAACTACCATATTGCTGGCACAGAATGAGGGCCCAATGTATATTTATTAACTAAATGACAAATGGCTATTACCAGATTTTCATTTTTGTCATACAGTGAATTAAATTATCTTTTTCTTTTTTAATTTACTTTTTCTGGGTGCCTGGGTGGCTCAGTCAGGTGTTTGCTTTCAGCTTGGGTCATGATCCTGGGGTCCTGAGGTCCAGCCCCCATCAGGCTCCCTGCTCAGCAGGCAATCTGCTTCCTCCTCTATCTGCCACTGCCTCAACTTGTGCTCTCCCTGTCAAATAAAATCTTTAAAAATAATAATAAATTTACTTTTTTTTTGAGGATACGCAACTCTATTAACTAGTTCTTATTTATCCTCTGTGAAATACCTATCCATATCCTTTGTCCATTTTTCTCTTGGTTTCTCAGTGGGGTTTGGGGGAGAGGGATAAGACCTTTTATTACTTTTAGGTAATTTTTACACCTATCATGGGGCTTGAACTCACAACCCTGGCACACTGGGTGGCTAAATGGTTGAGTGTCTGCCTTTGGCTCAGGGCGTGATCCTGGGGGCATGGGATCGAGTCCTGCATCATGCTCCCCACAGGGAGTCTGCTTCTCCCTCTGCTTATGTCTCTGCCTCTCTCTGTGTGTCTCTCATGAATAAATAAATAGGTTTTAAAAAATTAAAAAAATTTAAGTCACCGTAGGATAGCTTATTTTTTCATAAGGGGAAAAAAGAACTAACAACCCTGAGATCAGGAGTCACATGCTCTACTGACTGACCCAGCTTCACACCCTAGGATCTCTACATTTTTATCATTGATTTGTAGGTTTTTTTTTTTTATAAGGAGAGGGAGAAATATTTTTTTGAACATTTATTTGTTTATTTGTTTATGGGGTGATGGGTAATATATTTATGGACCACATATCAGGTAAGGGATTATTTATCATCAAAATACATAAGGAATTCATACAGGTAATAGCAAAAAGAAAAAACCTGATTTTGATTACTACACCCGCCATCTCATGTATAACCCCGACATGACCTGCTTATTGCTTAAGGCACTCCCCCACCCTGGTCAAGCCGCTGAGCACACCCTTACCAGAAACCGGCTCATATAGGAATGCAGAACCCCTAGCAGCCAGAGAATGTAAACCCCGCCTTTTGCCCACCAAACCTGCGCGCCAATTCTGACCAGAGTGATAGGCTAGTTCAAACGGTCACTATAGGGTAAATTGTAATTCAATTGGCCACCTGCGTGTGAACCCACAAGACTATGCAGCTTTCTGTGTGTTACAATTTCTTTGGCCACTGGCCCCTATAAAACTGCTATGCCTCTTATCCTCGGGTCCAAGTCCCTGCTCTGCTTTGTCGGGTATACTTGCACTCAAGCTCGAGCTTGCAAATAAACCCTTGTGCGCTTGCATCGGAGTCGGCTCCTTGGTGGTTTCTCGGATTCGCAATCTTGGGCACGTATCTATCTATCTATCTATCTATCTATCTATCTATCTATCTATCTATCTGAGAGAGAGGGAGAGAGAGAGCACAGAGGGGAGGGATAGAGGGAGATGCAAAGCACAGCACCCAATGCAGGGCTCACTCTCATGACCCTGGGATCATGACCCGAACCTAAATCAAGAGTGAGACGTTTAACCAACGGAGCCACCTAGGTGCTCCAATTCGTAGGAACTCTTTATGTGGAATTTTATGCCTTTGGTGTATATGTTGCAGATACAGCATATTCTCAAAAGTCATAACTTCTGTTTTCTCTTTGTATGGTGTGTGTGTGCATGCTGTACTTTGAAATTTCGTGCAGTAAAACCTATCCGTCATTTCCCTTTTGGCTTTTGAATTTCTCTTGTGTACAGAAGTTATCTACGTATTAAGTTTTATTTTTTATTTTTTTTTTCGTATTAAGTTTTAAAATATATTCTATACTCTCCTATGCTAAATCCCCTTATATCTCTGTTTCAAGATCCTTTGGTCCCAGTGATCTGTTTATTCCTGTGCCAGTATCATACTGTTTTAGTTACAATAGCTTTCTGATAGATCACGTTCCTTCTTACTCTTGTTTTTTCCCCTAAGATTTTATTTATTACTCATGAGAGACACACAGAGAGAGGCGGTGACAGAAGCAGACTCCCCTCAGGGAGCCTGATGTGGAACTTGATCCAGGACTCTGGGATCATGCCCTGAGTCTAAAGCAGACATTTTATTATTTGGGATCCCTGGGTGGCGCAGCGGTTTGGCGCCTGCCTTTGGCCCAGGGCGCAATCCTGGAGACCCAGGATCGAATCCCACATCGGGCTCCCGGTGCATGGAGCCTGCTTCTCCCTCTGCCTATGTCTCTGCGTCTCTCTCTCTCTCCCTCTCTCTCTCTCTGTGACTATCATAAATAAATAAAAAAAAATTAAGATTTTTTTTTATTCATAGAGACAGAGAGAGAGAGAGAGAGAGAGAGAGAGGCAGAAACACAGGCAGAGGGAGAAGCAGGCAGAAAGCCTGACATGGGACTCAATCCAGGGTCTCCAGGATCATGCCCTAGGCTGCAGGTGGTGCTAAACTGCTGCACCACCAGGGCTGCCCCCAGACACTTTATTTTTTTTAATTTTTTATTTATTTATTTATGATAGTCACAGAGAGAGAGAGAGAGAGAGAGAGAGAGAGAGAGAGAGAGGCAGAGACACAGGCAGAGGGAGAAGCAGGCTCCATGCACCGGGAGCCCGACGTGGGATTCGATCCCGGGTCTCCAGGATCGCGCCCTGGGCCAAAGGCAGGCGCCAAACCGCTGCGCCACCCAGGGATCCCCTAAAGCAGACACTTTAGACTTCAACCACTGAGCCACCGAGGTATCCCCCTGTCTTATTCTTTCTCTTCTAATTTT